ATAGCTATAAAATCATAGACCATAGAAGATGAATTGATCTAAGCGCTGAAGCTCTATCGCCAACCATTATGTCGATGCGATAAAATTAGAGAAGACAAATTAAGAGTTAACTATTCGGAAATGGAATGATCCATGATCGGCTTAATAGCTGCATTGAAGAGATATCGTGATAGAAAATATAATTTGGCTGAATAGCGAGAACGTAGGAAATTAAAAATTCTAATAAAAAAGCCGAACCAATTGAGAGCTCACTATCGAAGAGTATATGCAAATACAAGCGGATTCCTGACAAATAGAAATAGAAAATAATAGATTTCCTTCATGCAGACAATTTGCAACAATAAATAACAATCCAGCGACTGTTTACGAACTCAGATGAAAAAAGGTTTCCAGGAATTCAGTGCCAATCAGGCACTAGTTCCGGGTATTAAACAATCGACCCTTTCTCCAAATACTCTAACCTAATTTTAAAAAAAGTAAATTATCATATAGATTGCACCCAATAGGCAACAATTAATATAAAAATAAAATTTAACTATAAACTGAAAAAGCAGTCTACTTGTTGGAGTCCTGTAGCTTTGTTCCAGCCCATTCGCCAGCACCACATTTAGCTGTTTCGGAAGTCCCAGAGGGAATACCGGATAAAGCAGCTCCAGAAGCGGATAAGAGAAGTTGACGCACGCGTTCTTGACGAACATCAAGAACAGCATCAGTATAACCGACCTCCTGTAGGTATCTAAAAATAAAGTAAGACTTGCAAATCAACAGAAGAGATTCACGACTTTGAAGGGCCAAACAAACGTATGTGCACAAATAGCCCTCATTTGAAAATAAGGGAATTACCAAATAGCTTAAGCCAAAGTCATTTTAGGAAAAGTGAAGACAAAGTTAAATTAAAATGGTAACCAAACAAGGACAAAATTAAATATTGGTATTGCAAAATAACTGAAGATGACAGCCTAATTAGTGTTTATTAGATATGCAAAATTGGTGAATATATCCCGGTTAGACCAGTAAAAGCATAAAATCATAAATTCACTCGAAAATCATTATTGTTGTGAATTGCACCTTGTGACCATATGTTGAATTAATCGGTAGCAAGAAAATGCATCAATTAAAAATTTTATTGAACTAATTCGCTTACTTTTTAAGCCTGTTCCTACTTTCTCTCCATTTTGTATTGCTTTCTATGGCCTTCTCAGTAGATTGTGCTAACTGCTGAGCCAGATCAAGCGTCCCGGTATAGGAATCTGATTTGCTATTTTCATTCAAATCTATGTGGCAGGTTTCGGAAGGCGCTCTGGTTGCTAGAGTAGTAGCAGAGCCTGCATTAAGTTCAGCCTTAAGCTTATGATATTTGACGCGCTCCATTTTGAGGGCGTACTCGAGCATCTTAATCCTTCGGACCAGGTCCTGTTTAAGATTGTCCTGGCCCCTTCTCTCGCCTTGAAGAAAAGATATTCTAGTCTTTGAACTTAATAAAAAGAATCAAGGAATACCTGCAATTCAGCGCGCTCCATTTCCCACTGTGAGCGTTGCATCTCCAGGCGAGACCATGCTTGTTGCAAAAAGGTCAATACACCTTGAAAAGAGTATTGGGCAAATAAGTCCTTTTGTTCTGCAGAGTCTACGTTGGGTTCTATGGCTCTTTCATAAGCAGGTAAGTTCTGAGCGTAGCTTTGATGATAACCATTCCTGTCTTCCATCGCACTATCATACAGTCCGCCACCATGCACTGCCATGTTGGAAAATGTGCGGATCTATTGGGTGGCTATACACATAATCTAATCATTACTTTTGGGAAAGGAGTATTTCATTTATACTTCCATATTCAAATATTGTTAATTTATTAAATAAGGGATTATTTTACCTTATTGATTTATTTTTTTGTTTTCCCTCATAACACCATTGGTTAATAAATTTATATATTTAACTAATTTGCTCATTAAAGGTTAGCGGTGTACAAAAAAATACCATACAATACAATGCAAACAACAGAGATCACTATTGAAAATACTCTTATTATGTTTAGGAAAAGACAAGTTTGTAATGAGGCGGGTTGCGACTCGACACAAATCTAAATTTCATTTTCTTATGAATGGGTCCTTAGTCATAAAAGCGGTTTACTTAGGCATAATTGCTGAGCTTCCCTTTATTTCTAATAAATTTTTTTGTTTTTGAGATTCGAAAGTCTACTCCATCAGAAGGTGATGAGGTTAGCTGCAGATAGCTATGCAAGAACATACTTGCTGAGGCTATTATTGAGGCAGTCTCCTTCAATTCTGGTTTAAACGTTCTAAACTTTCGTCCATCATACGGCGTATCCAAATGGAAGTTCTATTTGCCGAAGCCATAAGGGATAATAGTTATCTCTATGTTATGTCATTTTAAAGGGGTAAGATTATAACCTGTGTATCTGTGCCATGAGACTATTTTCTATTCAGTTGCTTCATATGAAAAAGAGTAAGGCGAAACTCAGATAACATAGGTCGATTTTTTCTTCGCTCCTGATCTGGAACGTGCTTACTATAAAATCAGACATTTCTAAACCAAAATACAGGATGAGTATGCTTAAATAATGTACTCTGGCGTTTAAATTATCGTCTTAGTAGGTAAGATAACAGTCATCATAACAAGGAGGTTGGATATCTGGTATTAATAACATAGTAAGTTCATATACATTTCCTGGTAAGAGGAGTTGGTTTGCCTCACAATGAAAGTGCACACCAATATTTGATCTGACTCCATTATAAGCCATTTCTGCTGCAATTTAGTTATATATATGGAATCATCTGAGAGGAAGACCATGCCGCAAATAACTTTTATATAGATAAATGAATGTGTAACCGAGATCAAGGGGGTTATGGATGGCCCTTATGATACAGAGGTCCTCATACCAGGTAAGAAGTGATATATTCAAAATCACTCTAGCTATGAGTTTTTCATTCTAAAATATTTCATGATAATGATTGTTGCCGAAGAGATAACCTGACTTGATGTGAGAGATAATCTCATAGTGGGTCCAATAGCTAGTTCGGATACGTCATGTGGGAATGTAACTTGCCAATATTCACTGTGTATCAGTTAGGAGGAGATATGCTTATATGTGGTATTTGTAAGAAGAAGTGTTGTTGAAAAAAAAGGAAGTTTTGCTTAACTAGATTACTTATTTCAGTGATGAGTTGGGATGAATTATTACCTTTTAGTTAGAACAAAAAATTGTCTATAAGGGAAAATGGACTGCAAAGCCTAAATCCCAAAAGACTCTATTATAATCTTGATCTAATGACCTGAATGTTGCCTTCTATGTATGTATGCTTTTTTTTGCTATTTGCTTACATAGATGAGCCTAATCTTTTTATCTGAATTCTCCTGAGGCTAATACTAATGGCGTCTCTTCACTATTCCCCCCCTTTTATCAATGTTTACACTGACTTTTCCAGTTTGCTTCCTAAGCTTGCATATTGTTATTAACTAAGATAGTTTTCAGGGGAAAACATACAAGTTATTCACCAATATAGATGCTAGGATAAAGATATATGTCTATTTTTAATTCCTTATAGTGTGGAAACATAGTTGGGTGGCACAATACCAGTCAACCACGTGTGTTTCTGCGCTTGTGCGTGGTTTTCATGTGCGTTATAGTAGTAAGAGGTGATTGTACACTTGCCTGACTAGGAAGGTTACCAGCCATTATACTTATTAAAAACTGACTAATACACTAGAAGAAGATGAAACTACCAGCTTGAGAGACGAGAGGAGTGTGG